TTTTTTCACAGCAGTGAGCTTCTTTCTTTAGTAAAGGCATTTTAGATTGGTTACTATTTAATCTATCTAATTAGAATTCCAGTAACTTCTCTCATTAGGGTAATTTATTTGGTTTATTGTGTGGTACTTGTGAAAGTAGAGAAATAATTTTAATTTTAATAAATAATTTGTTCAACCCTTATGTCTTACTCAAAAAATTTTATCTGATTTTTACTCTTATTCTGGCTACTATGGGAACTTGGCTGGGTCTCTTCTTAAGCATGTGTAGGAATAAACTTGAATTAAATGGGTCCCTCCTCTTGTGCATCAATGCAAGCTCAATGTAATAGAGTTATTTTCTTGGTGACTAGAACCGCTTCTTATGATAGCTTAATTATAAATGTTCAAGGTTAATTCATCATTGGTTTCAAGAAAAGGTTGACTCCCTATCCCCTATGATTGGTGAGCTTAATTAGCTTAATTGGGTTTGGATCTTATTATCCAGAAAGGGCTTAACATTATTTGGATTAAGAATGACTTTATAGAAATTTTGTCCCTAATTCTCAATGTTTAGAATCATCCCCCTTTTATATGACCTGATTGTTAGAATTAGGGATGTTATTAAACGTATTTAATTGTTAGATTTAGTCATGTTTACAGAAAAACTAATTAATGTGCTAACCATTTAGCCAAACTAGACCTAAATGGATTATTGTCATCTAATTGTTTTGATTTTGATCCTTCCTCATTATTTCCCTTCCTTTATCTTGATGCTTTAGGCATGTAGGTCTTCGACTTAATATTTGTTGTTTGGACTTTTTAGCCTCTTTAAATAGCAAATAAATAAATAAAATAAAAATTTATCTAAATTTTTTATTATAATATTTTAATTAAAAATCATTTTATATAATTTTTTATAACCTAAAAAAATTAAAAAAAGAAAACAAATCTTATGATACTTCTCTCTGTCCTTCCTTCACTAACTCTCTAAAATGGAAGGACTTTTTTTTGTTATCATGTGTGATGAGGCCCACAAAAATTTTTTTCCCTTCCCTTCCTTCAACCAAATCCAAAATTTTTCTTACCTTTCCTTTATTTTTTTTTCCTTCCTTCAAATTGTATAACATTTAAACACACTCTAAATTAAAAATATCTTATTTCATAAGATAATTTTGTTTAAATAAAGTAAAATTGCAGTAGGTAAATAATTATATTATTGAAATTCAATATTTTTTGACACTTTTTATAATATTCTTGTAATTATTAATTAAAATTTATTAAAAATTATGTAAATTCTACTCTTCATTTAATAAAATTTAATGTGTAAAAAATGTAATGACAAAGCGAAGTTAGAAAACAACTTTGAAATGTATCTAAATTAATGCAAATGCCACTATTTTATAAAGAAAATTACAACAATGACATTTGACGAAATTTTAACGTGTGAGAAGTCAACTGGTATTGAATTGATGAATTCATTTACTTTAGTTTACTCCAAAATTAATTTCATGCGTTGATTTCAAGAAAAAGCCGCATACGCTCTATTTGATACTCTTCTCCATTTTTAAGAAGTACTTATTTAAAGTTGTGACAAAGTATTAAGATTATCTATTTAATTATTTTATTTTATTAAAATTATTATAAAATTTTTATTATATTTATTTTAAAATTTTTATGTAATAAATAAATAAATAAAAATAAAAATATTTTAAAATAATAATTATCTGAAGAAAAGATTTGAAAGAAAAAATTAACTTTACTTTAAAATTGTAAAATGATTATCATTTTGAGAAAAATAAAATTAATTAAAAAGATAATTTTTCAAAAATAGAAAATGTACTTTTTATAAAGTACTCTATCTAGTCACAAATATAAGAAAAATAATTAAATTATATTCATTAAGAAAATTATATCTAGTCACAATTTAATATTTTAATTTTATCTAAAAAATTATATTTTCTAATATTCCCTTCATAATATTTATTGTAAAAAAAAATTACTTAAAAAGAAATTAAGTTTTTATTAGCATTAAATGATATTATTTGATGATTTAAATTCATATATTAAATGTCAATGTGGTGAAAAGTAATTTTTAAAAAAGATACATAATTATGAGAGCCTGTTTTAAGTAAAATAGTGTAAAATTAATTAATATTAAAAGATATTTTGAGAATAATTTTATTAAATAATATTAAATTAATTTACTTAAAATTTAGACTATTATTTATCAGTTTATGTTTACTTACATTTGAAATTTGAGGGAATATGAATTTAAATATTTTTTTAACTTCAATTTTAATATTGAATTTAAATATCCAAAATACAATTTTTTTATTAAAAAAAACACATTCATTGTATTACATTTTTTAACTAAATAATTAAATTGATAAAATTAATATATAAAATATTAAATATAATATTTTTAAAAAAATCTTATTTCTAAAATAATTTAATTGAACCCAATTTTCAATATTTAAAAAAGTATATTTATCATTTTACTGAAAATAATATATTTTTTGGATGCAGTATACATTTTTAATTATAAAAATCAAATTAATATGACATTATAAAAGAATTTAATAATTAAAACACTTTAAATAATATTTTTAGTGCTAGTTCAGATTTTTTAATAAATAGATTTCAAATTTATTATTTTTTAAAAATTAAATATTATAATATTTGGTCAATGATATTCTTTTTTCTGTAACGCTAGTAACACATTATTATTTAATACATTCTTTATAATACACATTTTATTAAATTTATAATTTTTTCACTTTTTATTTTTAAATTAATAATTTTTTCATATTTTTAAATAAATTTTAATAAATAATAGAAGATATGCTAAAGAGTTGTTAGCATCTCCTTTCTTAATTTAAACTTTCAGCGTTACCCCACATGCACTTTTCGGTTTAGCCAACACTGCTGCTCGAGTTTTCTTTTACCCATCCTCACATACACTTTAATTTCATAAGTTCTTCTTTTATATAATTTTTAATTATTAATTCTTAATTAAGTTAAGAGTATTTTTTCAAATGAGAGCAATTTAAAAAATTAATTTTTTTAATCATGATTAGTCATTTTTCTATATTAAACATTTATATTTTTAAATTAATATTAATTTAAGTTATGATTTTTTATAATTTATAAACAATTATTTTAATTTACTTACACGCATATAGTAGCAAAGGAAAAACTTGTTAGAACTATAAAATGTTTCTAGCTAGTCTCAAACTTATCCACTAAAATATAATAAATTATTTAATTTTGAAATTAAAAATATAATTTAAACATTTAAAAAACTATAAATTTTAATATAAACAATTAAAACTAAAGAGATTAAAATTGCACTTATGTTAAAATATATAAAATTAAAAGTGAAATTAAGCCCAAATAAGTTTTAATGTTTTATTATATTATACAAAAATAATTAAATTAAGAATTACTTTTTTTATATAATTTTTGAATTTTAACCATCAATTGACATCATTTTTAAAAGTTAAATAAGAGTACGTTCGGGTATTAATTATATATATATATATATATATATTAAAATTAAATTTTAATTTATTTATTTTTTATTTTTATAACTTATTTTTTCATTTTATTTACATTTAAATGTAATTTATGAATCTTAATTTTTAAAAGAGAGAAATTTGAAGATTTTCTTTAAACAAAAATAATTTTAAATGCTAATTTCTTTCCATTTTTTAAATTCAATTGAAATTTTGAATTTTTAAAAAAATATTATTTTTATAATTTAATCTTATTTAATATAATTAAATATGTATGATTAATAATTATTATGATAATATAATAAGATATATACTTTTTAAATTTTATTAACTTCAAAAGTGTTTATAAAATATATTTTAATTTTTTAATTTAATAATATTTTTGATTACATGAATCTTGCGTATTTTTCATAAAAAAGAATTCTATTAAAATCAAATAAAATACAATAAATATAAAGTTATTCTTTGAAATATTTAATATAAATTGAACTCAAATAACTCCACCAACTACGCGCTATGACGGTTAATTTAATAATAATTATGTAATACACAGGAAACATGTTAAGTAGAGAGATAAACTATATTCATTTAAAACATAGATAGAACAGACGTTTCAAAATAATTCATTAATAGACACCAAGAAATAATTCATTAATTTTTTTAGTAGTATAATAAATTAATAATATTAATATGAATAGTTCATTAAATATTTCTATCTAATTGTATACAAAATTATTCTCATTTATTGAATGTAAAAAATTAAAATAGCATTAATTACTTATTTTTATTTATATAAAAAATTTAACCATAATAAATAGAGCATTTATGCTAATTGAGTAATTTAAAGGTTAAAAAATAAATAATAGTTAAAATTTTATCAAATAATTTTAATAAAATGATTAATATATTAAAATGTGTTTTTAATTTTAAATAGGTAAAAGGAGAATTAAAAATATTTGAGAATAAAATTGAGTTTAATTTGAAATAACGGGAACAGAATAAGCGGAAGAGGGGGACATGTCAGTTTTAGAGTCCAGTATATATAGAGACAGACATTATTTGACTGTTCTGTGGTTGTGTTGTGTGTAACAGTCCCTCAGAACTGAATGAACAGCTAAAAAGTTTGGAGCATTGCAGAAGAAAGATAAAGGTGATGACTTAATTATTTCACAATTGCCCAGAAATCATGACATAGCTTTGAATCATCTTCTGCTATTAGTTTTCAATTTCACCTTTGGACACTCATATATGTCACAATCGTATAATTTGTTTTAGTTTTTAATTTGTTTTTGATTTGGGTCAGATACAATGGAGGCTATAAGGCAAAAGGGGTATGTAAAAATTAAAGCTTTATTATGTTTTGGCTCTTCTTTCTCTCTCTAAGATATAGGCTTTTGGTTTATTCCTGAGTTTCTCTCTCTTGATGTTGTATCGTGTGTCAGATATTAATGGGCAGTGCAGATTCCTGTGGTTTGCAACTTGGGTTGTGGCTTTTTCAATCCCAGCTGTCCTATTTGTAGCAAAGCAGTTGTTGGGATGGGACCAAATTGACCCCTCCTCCACATCTTTGTGGTTTTTCAATGTAAACATCAATGTCATTTATGATTTGTGTGAGTTCTACCTTTGAAATTTCAACCAAATGTTAGGGCTTTTTTTGTTAAACCTGAATTTATTCTGTGGGTGTGTGTGTTTGAGTGTTTAATTCTTATTTTTTTTTTCAAAACTCGTTAGGTTGTTTTTATCTGTTTTTATCAAGATTGATTATAGATTTTATTTTATTTTATGTTTTTTAGTAGGCTGAAATCAATTTTGTTCCAAATGGAGTTTTAATAAATGTTTCTGCCTTTTTTTTTTTTAAGTTTCCTGAAAAAATGTTGGTGGATAAATTTCTCTTTTACTGTCACACTCAGAATTAGGTTTTACTTGACTGTGAATGTAAGATGTTAGGTAGTGTGAAAGAAATGTTTTTTATGTTGGTTGGTTAATGTGTCAGAAGCTTGACAGTGCGTGTGATTTTACGCATCCAATTTTTTTTTTTTTATTTATGAAATTTTGCATCCATTGTTTTAAAGTGGTAATTAGTATTTAGTTGCTAATTCAATTGAGCTCTGATAGTACCATTTTCATTCACCTACTGAACTGGATCTGCTGTTGAGAGTAATTCATTGGATTTTAATGAGGTTGGCTTTCTTGATTCTGCTAAGTTGTTAGATAAAAAACTTTTGAGATTAAGAATATTTATTGGGTTTCGTATTTGACTGCAAGATGGTTTTATTAACTTCCAATATGGAAAAATGACTTTGAACCAAATTGTTAATCACTATATAGTATATTCTTACATCCTTTTTTACTGTTATGAGATTTTAACCTTTGAAATCTCACAGATGATGAGGCCTTGAAGCCTAGTTCAGTTACTATGTCACTGTCGTTTGGGTTAAAAGGGTTATGAGTTACTGTCTGTTACTTGACATGGTTAGAAAACAAAATATGATGCTGAGTGTTCTGTGAAAATGAGTTTTACTGTAGCAAGTAGCTACACTTATGGGGAAAAGTTTTGTGGGCCTGTGCTGTTAAAACTGTTGTTATCAGTAGGGCTATGATAAACTGGAGTTTGTTTTTTATTGAATGGGAAATAGCAATTTTTGAATGCCCTTTGTTATCGCTTGTAGTCTTATCTGTTCTGTCTTTGTTTGTTTCTGAAATGTCTCTTTCTCATATCTGAAATCCTAGCCGGTAATTACCATTTCATTGACTGGCCTTCACATTAATTTCTAAATTTCACTTCCCTTAAAATGTCATGTATTGCATCCATCCATGATTTTATGGTTGTCAGGCTCAGATATTTTTCATCATCTAACTAAACTATTTTGCCTTTTCATTCATCAGCAGCTCAGGGATTCACGTGTCCAGTTTTTTTGAATTCTGAAGCAAATCACCATTGAAATTTCACATAGTTCAGAGATTTTTGAGATTCCATTGGTATTGAACTCTGTTCAGCTTCCTGCTATTTTCTGCTTCTTCTGATTGGCTCTACCGGCTGAACCTTGAACCTTGTAGTCCAACACATCTGTCTCCTTAATTGAACATGCCAGCAAAGTTAATATTGGTGGTACACACCATAGGGATAATTTAGATCCATAATTCCCTTAAAGTAAACCAGGGTTTGTGCTATATATGATGACCTTAACCTAGATTTAGAGCAGTTAGGTAGAAACCTTTCCTCTCCTTCTAATAAAACTCTGTACCTGGTTCAAACAAGACTAGATGACTGGGGATGCAGTGGACAGTAGCTCTGAGTGGAGCAGAGAGCAGGATAAAGCATTTGAAAATGCCTTGGCAACTTATCCAGAAGATGCCCCAGATCGATGGGAGAAGATTGCGGCTGATGTGCCAGGAAAGACTATAGAAGAAATCAAACTTCATTATGAGCTCTTGGTTGAAGATATTAACCAGATCGAATCTGGTTGTGTGCCTCTACCCCCTTATAATTCTTCTTCAGAGGGCTCAGCAAGCCATGCTAGTGATGATGGTGCTGGCAAGAAGGGTGGCAGTCACGGGCATTATAGCAGTGAGTCTAATCATGGAACTAAGCCCTCAAGATCCGATCAGGAACGACGAAAGGGTATTGCTTGGACAGAGGATGAACACAGGCGAGTTTATCTTTGCTTATCTTTTTTGAGATAACCTGCATATGCTACTATAGATGAACATTAAATAGTTACTCTTTTGTCCCAAGTGTAATGTTTAAACCTATACTTTTGTGCTTAGTTCAAGCTGTATCTGGTTGTGGACTTATCTTATTCTATGCAATCTGAACATCTTGGTATATTCTAAGTTGCAGTGTGCTTATGTACCTCAAACTCTTTTGCAGCTTTCTGTAAATCTCAATATCTTTGGCATTTATCTGTACTAACTAGTAGCTCTCTTACAAAATTATTTCACTAAACCATGGCATGGCATCCAATACTCATTGAAATGGTTACAGTTTTAGGTGAGGATGAAGTGGTAAAAATAGGAGGAGAGGGGAATCTCTATGTTTAACTGAGTTTTGATCTGATTTTGTACCCAGCTAGTTCCATCTTAACCGGAATCATATCTATTAACTGGTAGTATAATAATTTTCTCTGAGGTGGTCTCTTTTAGTTATATCACATCTCTATATTTATAATATATATTGATTAGTCATTTGCCATATTTGTATCAATTATCTAAGCAATAATTTAGAGTGAATGCACCTCATAAATGTCTGATAGCCAGCGTTTCAGTTCCCAACTAAGCTTTTTTTTCCTCTTCTACCTCTTTTCTTCACCTGGATAGAGGACCTAAAATGTCTTTGAATGGGAAAGCAGTGTAGTTATTTTAATCTTCAGTGCAACATCTTTCTACATGACATCTATAAAATTACAAACTTATGATTGGAATTTGAGACGTTCCATGAAAGTAGTTCTTACTGTTGCACTGATTTATGTTATTTGATTCTTATTTCCTGATTGATTTAAACTGTTCTTCAGTTCTGCACTCTTCTTTGTAGGATGACATAGTCATCCGTTTGAATTAAGTCAAATTGTCATGCTTATAACAATTTTAGTCTTTTCCTAGCTTCAAGAAGTGACAGTCTCACCTTACTCTTTTTAGTAGATACAAGTCTAGCAATAACTGAAAAGATTTAACACTTATATCCTTGTTTTGTAAACCTCAAATGGAATTGTTTCCTGCATGGCTGCATCTATACACGGTGATGAATAGTATCTGTGAATTAGGGTTCTGTTATGCGCAGGGGGGCTTATAGTTTTGCTATGGCTTGGAAACTGTATTTTGTTGAGATTTTACTTCATTTTGTTAATGCTGGAATGGACCAATTATTTACATGTCTTCATAATATTTAGTATTTATGTGTGTGTATCTTTAGTTTATATTTGAGGTGATGTTTTTGAGATGTGTACTACAAAAGCATAGATTGACCATGAAGAGGTAATATTTAGATAAACCTTACATAAATTGTGTGCTGTTCTGGACTTATCTGAAATAAGATTATCTAATATGGTCCCTTGAGTCTTATTTGGTGCAATACATTTAGAACAAAAAGGAAATTTGAAAATCTATATGGTAAATTTGTAACTTCCTCAGTCGCTGACTCCCCATCTGAAGCACAATGCAAGTCCTTGTAGTCAAAGCTGCAATTAAGGATGGAAAAGTCATTGGCATAAATTGTTACTTTGTTCACTTAATTTTGTACTGATTTTAGTCACATGTTCTTTCATGTCCTTGTAGATTAAAAATGTTCTCTGTGTTCTAGTTTTGTTTGATTGAAAGGGGTTGATGTAATGTTTGTGAGACTGATGTTTGTTTAAATGCTGGAATACATTTGTAGCTTTGGAATTTCATTTTATTATGCCTTTTGTAATTCTTCTGGAATATGAGGAAAAAGATAAGTCATATATTGGAGTGGATGTGGAGTATCAGGAGTTCTTTTGTTAGAATTAGAATGTCTTGTAATATCAATATCATATCCTAGACTATCTTGAGTACCTTAAAAATTATCTTTTGCAATTAGTTTTTGTGTTGCCTGATGTTATATGATTTATTACCTTATTTAATTAGGATTATTAGTATAAATAAAGGTTTAGTACTTTAGGTTTTATCATGTTATTCTAATATAATGCAGTAAATAAATGAATATTTTGCATTGTCTCTTTTCTCTGTATTCTCTCCTTTTATAGCTAAAACCCCATAATTTGGACATGATACCAAAGCAGTACTATCCTCCTTGACCTATCTTGCCATGATTTTGGTGCTGAGTTGTCTAAAATGTGAAGCTCTATTTTCATACTTCTTTTTCTTCCTTCAAAATTAGTTATCTCTTGCTGTGTTTCTTCTTTGTTGTTTGGCCTTCTTTGCCATGAGTCTATGTCTTCCGGGCCTCAGGCATGCTTCTCATGTGCTTATTTTCTGTTTGTGCATTCTCTCTCCTCACTATTACTCCGTGCATGGCAGCTCATTAGGGAGTTTTTCTGGCTGCTCTTTGCTCCATCATGGTTCTTCGCTGCCCTTTGTCTGAGTCTGGCCTCATATCTGCCTAAGAAGGAAGGTTCACTGTTCACTTAGTCTTTTTGTGTGCTGATTTGTACTTGTCCCTTGTTTGTGCTGTTGCTGTTGTCACCTGCTGCCCCTGGCCACTCCTCTACTTGCCTTGTGAGATGTTGGCTACCCAGACTTGTTACTGTTTGGGTTCTATTTCAGACATCAAGACTACCCGAACCTTCATTGCTGGCATTCCACAACCATAGTCTGCCTTCATTACGAATCTAGAGAGTGCTTAGCCTTCTTTGTAGGCCTCTTAGTTGATTGCTCTGCCTTCTTTGGGGGCCTATTTGTTGACTTGTCTAGCCTTCACTGTGGGCATATATGTTGACTGTCTAGCCTTTGCAGCAGACACATGACTTGTCAAGTGTGAGACCCAGTTCACTGAACCAATATCTCACTGAAACCTGATTGTCAGTCACATCAGACATGTCATATTTTTTTAAGAGGGTTTCTTCATTACAAGCTTAAAGCTTAGTCATCTTTAGCTTGAGAGGGACTGTTATCATATCTTGTAATATCAATATAATATCCTAGAATATTTTAGAGTATCTTAAAAACTATCTTTTAGGATTAATTTCCCTATTTTCTTAATTTCCATGTTTCCTAATATCTTATGATTTGATACTGTATTTTGATATTATTAACGTAATTAAGAGTTAGCACTTTAGGTATATCATCGCATTGTAATATAACATGATACACAAGTGAACATTATTTAGTCTCTTTCTCTTTTCGCTTTATTATCTCCCGCTAATATTTAATTTGGCTTGGTGACTCTGTTGTACTTGTCCTATTCTTATATCCTGATTTCAGCTTTTCTTTTATTGAGTGATTGTGTATTTAATTGGTACTTAATCATACTACTATATTTTTCCTTTGCATTATTTCATATCACTAGATCTTACACTACTATAAATCGTTTGACATGTTTAGGATTTTTCATTCTTTTAAAGAAAAAAAAATTGTTATTGGTTAACATTATCTTCTCAGATCAAGAATTTATGCAACATGTTCCTTGAGCCAGTAATTATATTCTAGCTGGTTGTTACTTGTATGATGCAAGGATTAGGATGATGCTTAGGCCTTACCCTACTTACTTTCCTGTTTAAGAAAAAGCAGGATTATTTTTTTGGTCCTTAAGGCTAGTCTGGGGCCTTCGGGAGGTCCCACCATTGAGTGCATCAGGATTGAACCTTCCCACTCTGTACATTGGAAAGTCAATATTTTATTAATTCATTTTCTGTTGTCTAGTTTATGGTTGGTTCATGATTCATTAACAAGGGTAGATAGATGTCTTAAGCCATTGTTTCTTGGAGTACTATTTACAGCTACAGCCTCACAGTGGACTTTCTGTATAGGATCTTGTGCAATGCTAGGTAACATCTGTTCTGTGGTTAGTCAGAAAATGTGCTTTTGTTGAGCCTAGAAAATGAAGTTATGGACCTTAAAAAATCAAAATCCTGTGTCAGTTATGAAATCTGATTAGCCTACATTAAATTTGAAGTTAATTACGCATATGGCTGGCCCTCAAGTGTCTGGCTAGTGCATGAAAAATGTGTTTCCTTGATATTTTTTTTACACATTTCCATAAGATCCTTGTTTGTTTTGGATTTTGCAAGAAATATATCCCATAAGCTAAAAAGAATTTCTTTTAATCACAAAAATAAGATCTGTTAGAGATGGTCTAGGTACTGCTTGAAGATTTACATGGTTCAAGTTTGTATTGGACGAACTTTTAATACAAACGTTTGGTCGTTTTGTCGGTCAAGAAACTTGATAAAAGTTTTGTCTGCATTTGTGTGTGTATTGCGTATATTGTGATGTATTGTTTTTGTTCAATTGTAGCTAAGCTCTAAAGTAGAGTAGGCTTGGTACTTTGGTTGTTACTAGTCTTGGCACTATCTGTTGATGTTCTTCCAATCTTTAAACTTTGCTTCTGTTTCCCTTTTCTTGTTGCCTTATATCAAATCTAAAGCTTGTGTTTTTTCAACCTACTCCATATCTATTAAACTTAGCACTTGTATCTAGTGAGGCTAAGCATGCAGCGAAGTTAATGGTACCTCTACCTATCATAATTGTCAAAGCTAACTGCTGATCTTAATACATGCATTAGGGACTAATGCTATGTTGAATTTCTTCTGTTAAAAGCATTAGATCTTACGAATTTTATGTTTGCTGTTACTCGTTGAATGGTTCTGACATTGGATGTCAGATAGATGGATGCATACACATGCTGAACTTCCTTTTCTGTTTCAAAATTTCAAATTGTTAACAGGTTATTTCTTCTGGGCTTGGATAAGTATGGAAAAGGTGACTGGCGAAGTATTTCAAGGAACTTTGTAGTGACAAGAACTCCTACACAAGTAGCAAGCCATGCTCAAAAATATTTCATCCGTTTGAACTCAATGAACAAGGATAGAAGGCGATCCAGCATACATGATATCACCAGTGTTAACAATGGAGACATTTCAGCACCTCAAGGGCCAATCACTGGTCAAACGAACGGTTCTGCTGGAAATTCTACTGGGAAAGTGACCAAACAAGCTCCTCCAGCCTCAACTGGGGTGCCAGGTGTTGGAATATATGCTGCTCCTACCATTGGACAACCTATAGGAGGACCCTTAGTATCTGCTGTTGGCACCCCAGTGAATCTTCCTGCCCCTGCACACATGGCATACGGCGTCCGAGCCTCGGTTCCCGGTGCAGTTGTACCTGGTGCACCAATGAACATGGGCCCTGTGACATATCCTATGCCTCATACATCTGCTCCTCATAGGTGAAGTGCTGTTTAGAGGCCTAATGTACAAAAGAGAAACAACAGACTAGTGATGGCTTCTGCAGTTAATTTAATTCTTTTTCTAGACAATTGCTTTTTGCTTATTCTTATATGCAAGCATGAGTTTTATGCTTAATTAGCAGCCATTTCAAATAAACCATATCAGGAAGCAATTGAATGTCTCTATAGGCTGCCATGGAATGTTTGACAGCCTTGACATAGGACAGCATAAAGGTGCGGTTGTTTTGTTGACATTTAAATTGATATTGTTAAACCGTGCTGCAGAGGAAGCTTTTATGGATTTTAAGTGTAAATTATTGTTGCTTTCTCTTGCTTTCTATAGGAATTCAGCTGTTCATTTATGATCCACCACCTAAATTCATAAGTTACTGCACCAGCTTGGCCATGAAATATTTTCCATAATAAAATTCAAAATTCTTCCGTTCCGTTGGGTAATTAGTTAACTTTTCAAAAGTAGAAAGCAAGATTTTTCAAAAGATTGGAAAGTTTTATGGTGATCTGTGATTTTCACTCATCTACAGAAGTGATAATTAAAGGCAAGATTTGACTTGTGTAGCAAAGATAAAAAAGGGCAAGATTTGAATTTATTGCTATCTTTTGCTTTTACTTTTTGGTTTATATTAGTGTTAAAATTTCAACGCCTTTTATTTTTTGAACCATTGTATTTTGTCTTCGTTTTTATAAAATACCAACAGTGTTATTTGAATTACTAAAAATTGACATTGTACTTGATATTATATATCATTTTTTTTTATCTTTTTAATTTATGTACATTTTTTTAAAAAATATATCTTAAATATAAAATGATACTTAAAAATATCACCTTTGATACAAGGAACATTATTGATAAATCTGTATAATCATACACTATCTAAACTTCTTTCCTCTAGCACATCTTATTCTCAAACTTATTCATTTAACACAGCAAAGATTGAAATAACATTGATACAAGTTTCAGTTTAATTGATATTTGCACTGCGTTTGGATTAGAGTTGTAATTGAGAATTTTAGTAGTTTGGTTGGACTGAAATGGAGAGAGAAGTGAAATAAAAAACTTCAATGAGACCCATATTTACATATTTCATCTCTCTACATCCATGAAATGCATCTCTATTCGGCAACTATTTTTTTAATATTTTTTGGTTTATTAAATAATATTAATATAATTTTAAAAATTTTAAAATTTAAAATAATTTTCTTATTAAAGAAAATTATACTAATATTTGTTTGGATTAAATCTATTTTTATAATTATTTTTATATAATTTAATTATTTATCTTTATTTTCTTCCTTTTTATTTCAACTCATCCAAATAACACATCTTTTTAACTCTATTTTCACCCTATTTCTTATCATTATATTTCCTTCTCTATATTTTCCCTCTCTCAGTTCTCATCATATCATAAAGGATAAAATTAACAAATTCCATAATTAAAGTATAAAAACTCTAATGCTTAACGAGTTTAACATAAATTATTTAAATAAGTTTTTAGTCTTTCCAAAATGCACTCTAATTAGTTTGTCCCTATGCATTTTTTTATGATTTAACTACCCAGAATTATAGTTTTTAATTTTAATCCATCTATTAACTAATAACTATTAAATCACACAGGCTTTTGTTAGTAAACACATGATGTCATGCCATTTGAGTTTTCTAATTTTTTTTAATTATTAGTATTATTATATTGCTTAAATATATATTTCTGTCAATATAAATAACATTCAAATTGGTTTTATTCCCCGGAAAAAAATAAAGGTTTAGCTACTCAAAATTATAAGTATTGACCCTAGTCCATCTATTAATTAATAATTATCAATTTTTCTAACATCTGTCAGAGAATACAAAATATTATCAATGCTTTTGATTCTATAAATTAAAAAAAAAAATGTAAGTTCTTACTATTGTGCATCCTTGAGCACACATTAAAAAAAAAACTAAATAACTATTAGCAATTACTAAAATTTATGTTGTTGATTTCTTTTTATATAAATGAAAATCTTCATTTTTAAATGAGAAGACTCATAGGATCTATTTTTAAGAGTTAGTTCTCTTCATTATTTTTTAACTCTAAGCAGATTATCTCTTTAATTTAGTTTTACTTAATCATTAAAAAAATTTGTCTTTTAAATTATTAAATTTTAAAAAATTATATATATTTATTTTTAATTATATATTTTCAAAAATTATTTTAATTTAATAATTTCCATGTAACGTAAAAAAATAAAAAAACTGGTATATTAAAAGTACAAGTTCCACTTTTTGCAACTTTTCTTTTCATTCATGTTTAATATAGTAATGTTTGAATATTGATTTTAGACACTAAAGACAAAGATACTGAAATAATAAAGGATAAAAATACTAATATTTATGTTTATATATTGTGTTTAGAAGTAAAGATAGAATACACGTGTCTCAATGTTTCTGTCTGAATCAAATGCTATCTATACTGTGTGCGCATATGCATAAGAAGTCTATTGGTGATAAGAACTAGAATACATGATTTTTCAGTTTTATATTATGATTGGTTTTCAATCCCTTTCTTTGTTTGTGGTGCATTCGATTATTGTTTACTCTTAAACACACTTTTTTGCTTTGTATAGAAGGATTGGGGGCACTCCTTATGCCTTATAAATTATGTTTTCATCTTTGCTGATTATATATGTGTGAGTGTGATGTAATCTGAAACAAGTTAATGAAGAATTGATCAAAGATCGGTTGAAGTTGGATTCATTTAATGATAATGCAACTCTCACGTCATGATATTTTCCTTCCCCGAGTTTCATGCACCGATATTTAATTGAATTTCTTGTCACACTCACTTTACACATTCATTTACGGTGTAACAATATATTTCAAATTGGAGACTATTGTTCAATACCAATATATACAAGCTATTCACAAGATAAACACCATGCATACAACCTTGTTAACGCCAACGCTAATTGCTCTTCAATCTGAGACCACCACTCGTCAATTAATGATAACTATAAAATGAAAATGTGAAAGAAGGACTCGCCAGAAATTCGCTTTTCATAAATCTAATATGAACTTCTGAGAGCGGTTCATATGGAACCGCTCTCTAACATGAATTTTGAGAGCGGTTCAAATGAACCGCTCTCTAATATTGATATTTAAGAGCGGTTTGAACGTAACCGCTCTAAGAAGTCTATATTAGAGAGCGGTTATTTAGTAACCGCTCTCACAAGTGATATTCTTGAATCCCTAATTCTCTTATCGTTCTCGCCCCGCCAAGCATGTACTTCAAAATTCTCTGTGTTCGAGTGTTCTTTGAGAATTTTTTTGCAGAGGAACAAGCATAGCTGACATCAAAATCGCACATTGAAGGTATATTCATAATCTTTTCTTTGTTTTCTGGCCATTTTTGGACATTCGCAGTCTCTCATTCTCTCTGTTCACTGATAAGTACCTCTGTTTTTTACGTTGAACAGTGACAACGTCTCCTCCATTTCTGGTCTCCTGCTGAACTGCGACAAATTTGCACTCGTTTCTTAATTCCAGGTTAGTGCATGCTGTTGTGTTTAGAAATTGTATGAACTGAATGTTGTTTACATGTTGACCATTGCTGCCTCGTGAACAAATGAGCATGAAATGACTTTTTATTTTGTAAAAGTTGATATGGGCAGGTTGAATCTTAGTTTGTTAACCTCTGAAATGTTGTTGGAATGGTATTTTAGGATTTGTTGAACATGATATTAGGACACAGGTGGTTAGTTATAATGGAAGAGCATGCTGTTGTGTTTATTAACCTGAGATTAGGCATTTAAAAATTTTGATATTCTTGTTTGTTTTGCTCCCAAAATGTATATTCCTTCTGTGTATGAATGAATTTGATGTTGTATTGTAGAATGTGATGAATGCATGATTATTGTTAGTGATGAAATTTTGTAGGTTATGATTTACTGTTGTAAGGCTCCTAAAAAAAGAAAAATGTGTATCTATTATTTTCTTTGAATTGATTATATTTTGTTTTTACTATTTTACTTTATCCCTGAATGTATTAATTTATATCTAACCTTTACCTTTTTTCTTACAGAGATGACTTCTTCAGATAACATGGACCGAAGTCCCCCTCATGACTCCGCTGGGGCCAATAAGAAAAAGGGTAGAGAGATTACCAAACTTAAGTCCATTAGCAAATCAAGAAAGTTAGGACAAAAGCTACAGGTAAAGTGTCACCATCAATGAATTTTGTAATGATATTATAGGAATCTTTTATGCTAATATCATCAAACACTAATTTGACTTTATGGTTTATATTTGCATATAGGTTGGCTGGAATGGAAAGGGTCAACCGATAGACCCTAACAGATCAAAGTTTGCACATTTTATTGGCTTTGTTACTAGGAGTACAGTGCCAATCAGTTATTCTGATTGGACAAATGTTCCTACTAATGTTAAAGACCACATTTGGGAGCAAGTTGAGGTACACAAGACCAATCGTTTCAGTTATTGCATATTGGTTTACTGAAGAGGGTTTATCTGATATTGTTTAATGTTTCCAATGTAGCAAACTTTTGAGGTGGATCCTGTTCACAAAGATTTTGTTCTGTCTTTAGCTGGACGGGACCTTCGTGCATTTCGGACACGTTTGAGAAAACATATCTGTGACAAAGATGGAAATTGTGTCCCCCATCCTCCAGAGAAGTATAAGAGATTTATCACAGTCACTGATCACTGGATGGACTTTGTCAACCAAAGCTGCACAGAGACTTTCAAGGTACCATGTCACACATTATTACTTCAAATTACTATCACCATCACAATTTGTATTGATAGGGTACGTTTTTGAATGCCTAATTTCAGAAAGAAAGTGAAGCTAATGCACAAAGGGCGAAAGGAATGTCATACAGATACAGGAGGTCATCTAAGGGATATGCTCAGTTAGAGCAAGAATTGGTATGTATATTTGTGTCTTATGTAACAATGTGATGCTAATGTGTTGTCCTATGTTAAACCTATTAACGAGGGATTTTAATGGGTCTAATTTTGTGTAGATTGCTACATCTGGGTCTAATTTGACCTCAGTACCTCGACATGTCCTTTGGAAAGCTGCTAGGGTAAATAAAGAAGGTAGCATTGATGACGAAGGAGTTAAAAAAATGGTCAAGGAATTTGTAAGTTGTAAATACAAATGTGTTAGTATTTTAAAATATGTTCAGTTTAATTTTGAATTCTTCTACAATGACCTAATGGTTAATTGTTATCTTTATTGTAGGAAACTCTTTCACAGGTCATTCCAGATGCTGAGACTGAATCAACAGCCCGAAATGACATACTCTCTCAAGCACTTGGTGTAAGAGAGCATCCAGGTCGTGTTTGGGCTGTAGGTTTTGGGGTGACCCAAAAATATGCATTTGGGCCA